GGGTGGGCCCCCCGCCCCCCCCCCCCCCCCGCCCTTGTTAGCATCTGACACGTTGCCAGCGGGGACTCAGCCGTGCGTGGACGGCCTTTGAACTCTGGGTCAGCCACACGTCCAACCCAGCGCACGGGGCAAACTCCTGGCAGACAGACACCTTCTGACTCAGTCCAGTCCACCCCTCTGTTACTGCCCCTGCCCTCGCTGTCCTGTAGACGCCCCTTCCCTCTGTCTGACGTCGCGCCCGTCAGGCGGGAGCCGGGTGCCGTCAGGAATCGCGTCAGGAGGCAATATGTTCGCTGTAACGACCGGGAGTGCCCGGCCTGGCCCTGCGTAAGCAGCTGACGGAGTGACGGGGCTGAGAGGCAGCCCGGGGCCCTTCACGCCAGCTGACAGAGAACAGCCCCCCCATTGGTCATTATTACTGTTATAAGGCCTGACCCCAAGCCCCTTGAAATCAAGGGGACACCCATCCACCCTGGCCCAGTCGTTGTGTCTGTGCGTTAAGGGTTCACTGGCTGGGGCTCTCGCGGCCGGCCAGGCGGCTGTGCGGAGCAAGGGGCAGGTCCTGTTTGGTCGTCCCAGCCGCCCACGGTGATTTTCCCAAACTGGCTCATCCCATAGAGCCCCCACCGCCTCTGATTACAGAACAGCAAGTGGACAGTCAGAGGGACGGTCTCTGGGGAAGCCCAGCCTACCTTTAGCTTTTGCCCACAGCCATTTGATTCAATAGGATTGATTATGGCGTGGGGCCCCTCCCGCACCCCAGCACCCGGAGGAAGGGGCTTCTCCGGTGTCTTATACAATCAGACTGTACCATGAAAAAACATCCGCGGGGTTTTCCCCAGACAAAGAACCGGGACGGCAGGCTCAGCGCACCAGGACACTGTATACACCAGCGGCTCAGACACGGTGGCAACGGGATCACCCCAGGAGCTGCCTGGTCCCAGCCGATTCCACCCCAGGGCTGAGTCCATAGTGCACCGTAACGCCTTTGCACGAACAGCTGCCTCTAGGCTGGTGTTTCCAGATGGGGCTTGTAAGGGAGCTAGGATCCACCTATCAGAGCGAGTCCCTTGGGAAAGCCCAGGCTTAACGAGCACAAGGGCTGCCTCCCGTTTGCACCAGGGATGGACTTTCACCGGGGCTGCCTGTGTTTCCATCCCCACGCCCCAGGCCTGAGCCTACCTTAAATCCCGTGTGAACTGAGGTGAGTTTACCACGCCCTTCCCCCCGCCCCGAATAGCACCATTCAGCTGGGCTCACAGCTTCCGGGCCAACGGAAAGGGGACTTGCTTGCTGGGCGTAAAGCTCCTAGGTCAAATTAATTCCCGGTATAACGGGCGTCTTCTCTGTCACATCCAGGAGGAATCGCGGTCCCGCAGAAATGAAAGAGTTCAGACTAAGTTCAGTTCGGACTAAGGGGGATTTAAAAATGGCGGCGCCCGGGAACATGCAAATGAAGCCCGGGATATTTAAATCCCGGGCTTCATTTGCAACTCCGCTTGCCCTAACTACCCTACCTAGCTCGAACTAATGAGCTAGTGTAGACGTACCCTAAGGTGCTACAGGACTGCTCGTTGATATAAAAATGTACATCAGGATCCTTTGGGCATGAGCCAATACACGCTTATGTGCAATGCCAGCGCTGCAGGGGGCTGTGACTTGGGACGCTGTCCTATTATTTTGATACGGGAGCCTTCCAAACATACCAGGGTGCAGGCGACTTGGCTACTGATGCCACTCAGCGATCAAACACCAGCCACGTCCTTCTCACAACCCGGTTTTCCTGTCACTGTCTAGGCACCA